AGTGGATTTGAGACACTTGTTGGTAAAACCTTATCCCCAGCTAAACGTGGGGCCAGCCATCACACTTCCTGTTTTTCATCAAACTTCCTCTTCCTGCAGTGACAGCGACAGCGAGATGGAAATGCGATTGCGAGAGGCTGCAGTGTCTGCAGTGGACTTTCTGCCCGCTCCAGCCCTTCCCATCATGCCTCAGCCGTCTTCCTCACCCCCCACCCCCACTGAAAATCAGAGTAGGATGAAGAAGAGGAAGAAGAAGAAGAAGAGGAAAGCAAGGAATGGAAGTGAGGCCTTTGTGGAGGAGAGCAGTATACATGTCCGAATGGGAATGCAAGTGGACAGGGAGGGAGAGGCCCACGATCATGGCAGGAACACTACAGATACACAGGAGGCGCTCAAGGCCTCCTTGAACGCCGAGTCCACACTGCCGCAGGATGAGATCCCAGCGAAGAAGAAGAAGAAGAAGAAAAAGATAAGGTCTGAGGTAGAGGGGTGAAGGTGGACCTCAATCAGTGGGGGGGGGGCGGACTCAGGCCAGCATGGAGGCAGTGCTGAGAGTCTCTTAAAGACGCTGTGTAGATGGGACAGAGCAGCCACAGACGCAGCCTCACGCTGGCATCAGCAATAAAGGATGAGCTCCCACGACCTGTGTGTGTGTGATTGCTTTAATTTCCATTACAAACAGTGATCATCTCTACATGCGTTACTGTGGCTTTGCAGCTGTGTTAGACACTGACAGTGCGCTAATGTAGCTGTCACATGCTTGCTGGGATGGTAATGTCTGCCACGCAGGGAAAAGTTACTGTGAATTTGGCACTTTGGCATGGCAGTTTGGCCTTAATACTGAGGCTCTCCACTGCCGTCCATCGTCTGGTGTCATTAGTTGAGCTCCCTCCATCCTGTAATGTGGTTCCACTCTGCTGATACACTGCTGCTATTGTGCGGAAGAAACCATCTCTGTGGGGATATAGGGGTCGATGTCTGCCGATGGGGATGTGAGGAGGTGTGGGGTGTGCTCTTCTCCTGGCTGGGAAGTTGGATACAGCTCCAAGCCTCCAGAAGTCACTGCCGAGAGAGTGGAAGACAGCAGCTTATAGGATTTAGTCTGGGCTTTGGGAAGTTTTAGGGAATAAAGTGTATTTGGAGGTTGTTGGCAGTAAGCTGAAATGTCACCCCTTTTCCATCATGAATTGTGGTCCCGCGGTTCCATCTTTGTCAGCGTGTAGCATAAAGGAGCCTGTCTGACTTGTGCTCGGGAATGTTCCAGGCGTGCTGGCGTGGTGTCGCGTGTTGGTCACGCATGAACGTTACCTGGCACTGGGGAGTTTGATGCCAGGTGGAGAGAGTCCTGGATGGGGGGGTCTGACTGGTCGTCTGGGTCTGTGGCCAGAATCTGACAGACGGAGTAACACTTTTCTCAGCTTATCAAAACATGATGCAAACTCCAGAAACAAACAACAAAGATTTAAAAGTAAGATTCCCATTTTACTGTCTCCCTTTTGTACCCGCAGGCCATTATTTCACTCATTTCTATTTGGCTTGCAGCCGTTATTTAATTCCTGTTTTTAATTGGCTTGCAGCATTTATTTAGTTTCTGTTTCTGATTGTCTTATGGCCATTATTTCACCCATGTTTTTGATTGGCTTGGAACCATTATTTTACCCATTTCTGATTGGCTTGCAGCTGTTATTTCACCCCTGTTTCTGATTGGGTCTCTGGCTGTGGTGGGCGGGCCTCTACCTGTCTTACAGCAGTGAGGCTGGTGAGGGTCCCGATGCTGTTGCTGTCAGCAATTACCATAGCCTGCGACAGCAGGCTGGAAGGGGTGTACGAGGACAGCTCAGACTTACTGTACACTGGAAATGCGGCAGGAGAGATGTGTCATTGGTTGGTTTTAATCCCGCTCCTCCCTACACCCCTACCTTCCCACCTACAGAAATGCGTCTCCATCTTGGGACTCTTACTGTGACATGGGAGAGGTGCCATTGTTGCCATGAAGGAGCTAGGGCCCATGTGACTGGGGAACTGCTGCGTGATTGGCTGCTGGTGAGGTGTGTGGAGCTGCTGCTGAAACGAGATTGGCTGGAGGGTGGTGAAGCCGCCTCCCACGTTGTTAATGACTGGGACAGTCTGAGGCTGAGCTGATGTTAAACCTTTGAAAGAAGTATGAGGGAGATTTTAGAAATCCTGTTTGGAATAACCACATTGCCCTGACATTAATGTGCAATAATAGAGGAAATTTGAGCTTGCATGATATAAAGGGATCCACTTAAATTAGTCCTTGTCAAATTGCATGTCAAAACATCTCTGTTATTGACAGCCTATTGGCCTGTTACACTCAGTCAATCACAGCATCAGATCACCATCTGGGAGAGGTCACGTGATCAGGTCAGATTACCAATTAGAAGCGAGGGTTCCCCCAGGCTCATGACGCTGGGCAGGGAGGCCATGATTAGGCCCTGTGGGGGGGCAGGGGATGCCGAAAGGCTGTGTAGGGCTGTTAAAGTGCTGACTGGGGGGAGCGGCCCACCCCCTGACACCTGGGATAGAAAGGGGGGGGGCGGGGGTAGAATGTCAGCACATCTTTATGGTGGACTTTTAATTATCAGCTAATTTACAGTTTGACCTTAATGGCTATCCTCCAACCAATAGTCTGGGAGTTCATTTGATTAATGCTTTCAAGTATTTACAAGCACCAAGTCAAATTATTTTTCAAGTAATTTACATAATGATTCATCAGTCTAAAGATGAAATGAAATTAATTCAATTCATTGTACCACAAACAACTATAACTGGACTTAAATGCTTCATCATTCTGTACCCAGAAGTGCTTTATGAATAATTTCTCTGTTTTCCCTGCATGTGTTTATTATCCATTATATAGCATGTAGAAGTGAAAGTGAGCTTGGTGAGGCGGTGGCTGGGGGCCTCACTGCTTTGTGATGCGTCTCCAGGAGGGTGTGGCTTGGCTCCAATTGGACAGGGCTGAGCACTGGGCGTGGCCCCGTGCTCCTGTCTCCATGGTGACCCTCACCTGCCACCTGCTGGCTGTATTTCATGTCTTGAAGAAATTGACAAGAGAGAGATGCATAATGAGAGGGTGTCTGAGAGAGGATGCCGTCTGTGGATTAACGGAAGCTTCCGTGATCACTTCAGTGTCAGTCAGTTACCGTGCGTGGGGCTTGTAGTGAGGGTGTTGGTGGAGGTGCTTGCTGACTGGCTGCTGAAAGGCACGTCAAGCGCGAGCTTGTGGCGGAAGGCCTCCTCCTTGCGACGGTTGGCAAACCAGTTATAAACTCGCACTTCTGTCACGAGGTTAGAGCCCAAGCCCGCGAGCTGGGAAGGGGACACGCCCCGCTGCAGACACTCTGCCCTGTGGGTCGAATACTTACTCTCAGAGAGTGACACCAACACTGAGCCTCTAACGGTGCAGGACTAACACTGACACCGAGAAAAACAACCAGGGCATTTTAGCACTGAAGCAGTAACACTGATACAAAGGGAGACAGAAATTAAACATTAAAAAGGGGAAACTTGCTCTGGAGCAGGAGCATCATAAGGGACTTGGACACACACTGAAATGCCCCTCCTTTATATTTTCTACTCTCTTGCTCCTTTTTTCAGCCACATCCCTCCATCCTCTCCTTTACCTGTTGCACTCCTCCACCAGCCCCTCCCTCTCCTCCTTGCTGGGGTTCTTCTGCCTCTCGTAGGCCTGGAACAGGATCTGCTGGGACGCAGGCCCCCACTTGAACCTGTTCCTGCGGCCCTTCCTTGCGTCATCACCGGGCTCCTCCCCCAGGCTGGCCCCCCGGCTGGCGTTGCTGAACTCTGCCGTGCGGAAGGGAGGCGTTCAGGCAATCATGCTCAGTGTCACTATTGATTTCAGCAAGATTATTATGAACCTTCACTGCATCATTGCCTGTGTTGTATTTGGCTTTATGAGCTGTCTTTTCAGTCCGTGGTGAAAGGCACACACATGAAGGCTGCCCAGCATGTGATGTACACACAGAGAGACAGGCACACCGGCTGAGCATCAGAGTTGCATAGTACTCACGCTGAGTGATCTCCGCCTGCCTCCGCACATACCAGCTGTACAGCGCTGCCCTCTTCTGGTTCTTCATGGGAGTGCCCTTGTTCAGGTGCTGGGAGAGGTGTGACTGGTTCAGCCCAGTGGACTCCACCACCTCTCTCTGGGGGAGGTTGTGCTGCTGCATGTAGCTCTTCACCAGCTTGGCTACACGCCACGGATCTTCCCTGTAACATTCACGCGTGACACTGAGTGGCAGGCAGGACGGGACTGGAGAAGCCTTGCCGTTGAGCTCTAAAAGAGGCTACTTAACTTGAAGTGCTTCAGTGAAGTGCAGATGTTAAAGCAAAGACTTTAAACTCTCTACGTTACACTGCATGGGCGCTTTCCAGCCTCCGCTGGCTGCAGGGTTTAAATTTACTCATCAGTTACCGAATTATATCTGCTTCAAAAGCGAGACCGTTCCAGTTTATATGATTTCACACGCAAAGACAAATTCTTACGACAGGGTATGTAAAGATGTCATGTATATAGATATTTACCCTTTTAAATAAAGGGTGAAATAATTAATTAATCCATCCTTCCTTTCATTCATCCATTCATACATTCATTTGTTATTGTCTTTTGAGAATGTATGAAAACCACAGTGGTGAGTACAAATGGACTTTCTGTAAGAATACTGTCGTGAAAATTAGCGGACACATTTATCTACCAAAGTACAAGAGCAAAAACCTCTGCAAAGGCATTACATTGCCAAGCAAATGCGTGGACTTAAACTAATTATGGCCAAAGATCCACTGTCAACTGGAAAACTGCTATAACTTATTAATAACTGTAAGGATGTGGTTTTAACACTACCATTTCGCTATCCCTGTTTAGGGATTTTTTAGGCATTTGAAGAATGTTGTTTGAATCAGAGTGAGAAGGAGAGATCGAGGCAGAGAGAGAGACATGTTGACACAGAGATAAGGAGGGAGACTGCAGTGCAAAGTCCGGCTTTAAGGGCTCAATTCTGCTCATAAACAGCAAATAAACATGAACACACCTGATGAACGGGCACACACACCGATTTATGCACGTTCACCAGAACACAATCACATAAAACACACCTGATGCACAGCCTCAATTGTTCACACACAGGCACACACACGCTGATTTATACACCTTCACTAGAACACGCTCACGCAAAACGCACTTATTCTGTTACGTTTCGTTTTCCCACACTGATATGCTCGGTGTGACACACTCATACCTACAGGCTTAAAGGGCAATTCACAGTCAGGCTAAACATTTACGTTCCACATTAAGTGTAACACCTGAACCCCACAAGGTTTCCAGTAAATAGCAGATACTTGTAGCTAGTTTTACGTTACAACTGATTCATAATCAAGCTGGCAACACAAAAGTGAGTTTGGGAAGCATTACGGAGAGCCAGATCAGAAAGCGTTTCCTCAACTTTAGTGCTGTAGAGAGATCTCTGAGCCACAGAGGGGCAACCTTCTCTGTTAATCTTAAGCCATGCGTGTAGCTCATTAATTACTGGACCAGAAATGGCCACAGAATAACGACTGGATGGGTAATTAGTAACCAGAAAAGGAGGAACTCTATCCTTTATATGCACCCCATGGACAGAGGGATCCGGGAGTCGAGGAGAAGAGATGGAAAGAGAAAAGGGGGGGGGGGGGAGCAGCCACTGCAAGATCAGGACAGAAGAGATGTGGAGGATAACCTCCTGATGAAGGTCTGTGTCTCCTCGGATTCGGTCAGGAGGCAGAAGGGGGAGAGTTGAGCGTAAGCTGGACTTTTGGAGGTTTTTAGCTTAGTATTTAAAAGTCAGAAATGTAGACAAAGACAGGCCTATGATAAGCAGGAAGCTGTCGTCAGTTCACCATCCATGAGCTCTGAGCTCAACCTCCACCAGATGAACATAATCCAGGGTCAAGAGACTTACTGCAGCAGCTGATCCACCTGGGCACGTTGTCTGGCCGCCTCCTCCGGGGGCAGTATCTCCAGCTCCCTGAAGATGGGCGGTAGGAACTCCTCATCCCCCTCCTCGGAGCTCTCCGCACCACCCCTGTCGGCCGAGCCATCGCCCCCGCCTGCGGCCGCCCTGTCGCGTTCCAGCTCCCCCAGAGCCTGGAGCAGGAGTTCCCGGGACAGGCCGGAGCCCAGCAGGGCCCAGACCAGCTGCTCCTGCAGGGCTGAGAGGCGGCGCGGGGCAGTGGGAACCCGGCGCTCCTCGCCATCCATCGCCGCTCCTCCCCTGCGCCCCACCCCCACGCCGCTAATGCTGCAGGTAGCAGATGAGCGGTGCACACGCACACTCTACACGCACTTGCTCTCTCACTTGGCGCAAACACACACACACACGGATCAGAAAGAGAGCCCCCCCCCCGCAGACGCTGCCCAAGACTGGCGGCTCCCGCTGCGTAACGCCGACACGACGACGCAGTTCCCTCTGCTCTCCATCTGCTCGTCTTCCCCAGCCCAGCGTAACACCTCTCGCCTCCACCTGCCGCTTCACTCTGCGAGCTGTTTATTTCCCACCCTGCTCTCCTGCTCTGCTTGGTGAGTGCCTTGCTCTCTCTTTCTGTCATTGAACTTTGCCCTTGGACAAAGTGCACTGTCTGAGCAGCCCAGTAAAATCAAAATAAATGTCATGCTCCATTTACATGCGCACAGACACACACACACACACACACACACACTTCTGTTAACTGACTAACATTCTTCTTTTTACTGGTTTTAGAATAGTTTGCATGTTTTCAAAAATATTCAAATTAACTGGATAAAATTTTTGAGTGAAAAATGTACCTCCTATAGGACCCAAACAGCTCTCACTGCCCTCAACAGGCAGAAACAGAGACAAATCCAAATATAATACAATATCAGGCAGGCTATTAGGCAGATCAATAGAATAGAATAGATTAGAATAGAATACTTCTGTTGTCACTGCATAGGTACAACGAGATTCTGTTTGCAGATTCCGTACTCCATGCTATTACTGAAAAATTACAGGAAAAGTAATTAAGTAGAGCAGAAAGATAAAAAATGGCATTATGTAGTAAATAATAAAGTACCTTCAAAACCAGTACAGTATGAAAAAGCAAATAAATAAATTTAGCAGATGATTTGGAGAGTAAAAATCAGCAGTACATACTGACAGAATGTGCAAACCAGGGGTACGCAGTCCTGATCCCGGAGTGCCAGTATCCAGGTTTTCTATGCTGCCTGATGACTTACTATTTGCCTGAGATCAGGTGCTTCATCAGAAACCGGGTAGGATGGAAAATTTGGCACTCCGGGATCAGGGCTGCCTATCCCTGCTGTAAGTGGTGTAAAGTGTCCAGGATTGTGACAGCCATATTCTAATACAACCACATGCTAAACTTGGGCCAGCGGTAGGGCTGGTGCCCCCATAAAATATTTATTCCCCCCCCCCCCTCCAATAAATGTAGTATAATTAGTTTATATAGTGTGTTCTCGTTCGTTCTTTCATTCAGTCATTT